AGAAGGAATTTTTAGACTTGTGTTAAGGAAATGTGGCAAAACGACAAGAGTCGCGCTGAGAAAAGCTCTCGAATGTCTCGCTTGTCATCCACGCGTTCATCAGGCTGTTAGCGCGCGCCACACTTTCAAGGGCGATAATGGACTCCTTCGCGAACTCTTGGGAGAGCGATGCTCGATGCGCTTTTGTACTTCAAAGTTCATTACAGACATTTGACGCAAAACTTTGTAGTTTTTAAAACAATTTTGCAAGAAATGTCTTCAGTGAACCTAGAAGTATAGAAACACTTAGCGCAGCCCTCTCGCAAGAGTCCACGATCACGCTTGAACGCGTGGCGTTTGGTACCAACCTGATACACGCGTGAATCACAAACGAGGCACTCGGGAGCATTTCTCAGCGTGATTCCTGACTTTTTGCTGCAATTCCCGAGCACAAGTCTCAAAATTCACATAACAATTAAATGTGTGTACATCCAGTCCACCTGGAAAATCAATTGAATGAAGCAGAATGCGCTTGTAAAGGAAATCCTCTCTTTGTTCCGTTTTCTCACGGAGAGGCAACAGTCCCGGCCCCTTAGTCGAGTCCGCTCCACATTAAATACACAAGACATCTTTAAGGATAAAACGCAAACCGTAACTTGTTCCGTTGTTTTCCGTGCTACTCTCTCTCCTTATTTGTCTGTGGAATACATTTTGAAATAAAAATTCTGATGTAGCGCGCTCGCCCTTCCGATGAAATCGAGCGTGCGTGTGAACTGTCCTGCCAAAGTATGACGTACCTCTCCAGTTTGGTGGATTTGTCTTATGATTATTTCCATGGATTCTTCGCTTTTGATAACGAGGACGGACTTGGAATAATTTTTGTAAAAGAATAGGATCGCGAATAACATCAACTATAAGGAAGTAGAATGCTCACACTCACTAGTTACCTGAAGTCAACCCTTGCCTTTCATATACATTTTTAGTCATTTTCATTCACATTTAATTTCCAAACATTTTCCGGCAATAATTAAAAAAAACAAATCTGTTTGACAGGGTCATATTTTAAGTCATTTCCGTTTTCCTTGCTAAGAATTTCCTTTAAATATAAGTAAAATTGAACTTTGAAATAGTAAAGTTTCTCAGTTATAAAGAGAGATCTAAACAGGTACATAATTACCTAATAGGAACGAGGAAGATCAAGGAACGCGAAGAATTAAAAACAAATCACAGATGGCGAAGTTTGAAGTTTTCTTGAAGTCGGGAAAAAAATAAAAATTTACAAAGAGAAAAAAATAGATAGTACTGCATAGTAAGAAAAAAAAGTGCCGTGACCAGGATTCGAACCTGGGTTATTGCGGCCACAACGCAATGTACTAACCACTATACGATCACGGCTGCCACTGCTGCTCATATGTACAGCAAGTTTTCAAACAGACAAAGCATATGCATCCTGGCAAAAATACCTTCTCCCATACACATTCATACTTGCAGGAAGTTATATATTTCATTGACTACTGACGCCACTGTTCTTTCAGTGGTACTTCAGTGCTAGTGTTCTTCTGGTCGAGGATGGAGGAACATGCTCATTGGCAGCCAATCACATCCTGTACATTAGGAATCTTCCACCAATCACATCCACTCGATTTCAATTAACCAAACGAGTGGATGTGATTGGCCAATTTGTGAGCTACATGTAACAACAACACATCTTCAGCGGTCTTCTCTAACTTTAGAGATCGCGATATAAAAAGTCGTACAAAGAGTGCGAGATCAATAGAGAAATCGTAATTGCTTTAATCATTTTGCCTTCGAGGTTTTTCTTTCTGTTTATATCTTTTCGCCGTCGATCGCGAGAATGCCGAAGTTTAGACTTCTTACCAAAAGAGATCCGACGCTTGGCTACACAAGAGAAGCGGATGAGATGTTCAAGAAGTGGCTAGTTATTGATCATGAAATTTGAAGAGGTTTGGTTTGGGTATTAGTTGGTGTAGAATAAAGGTAGGACAAACACGAGATTTTTCTTTATCAACTGGAGGTTAATTAGATCCTGGATTTTACATACAAGCTGGGTTAGTTTAAATTTATTCATTTATTATAATTGTTTCCTTATGGTTTGTTTACATGGAAAAGTAACTTAAAGCTTTACAGATGTTGTTTTTGCAACATCTTTAATTAAGTTTCATTTAAGACTGAATATGTTTCAATAACTTTGAATGAATGACAAAAGCAACCCTGCTCAAAAACATTTGCCATCAATGAAATTGTAAAATGTTAAGGCAAAGTTAAGCCTTTTTTTAATGTTTTCTAAATGTTGGTCATTGTCTGGAGCAATCTCCAAAATTAATGAAAAATGCCCTCTGTCTCAGCCAATCAGCATTTAGTGATTTTCCCCCTACATTATAGTATAAATAACATATATATTTAGCTAAGGTTAAAAGCAAAGCTATAGTAAGTTCATTTTTCAGCCCCTCACTTTATTAGCTGTGGGATATTTATCCAAGTGGAATTTAGTGGCAAATCATTACTTATTCACATGGGGCATGGAGTAATGGTCTTTTATGTAATAAGACGGCAGGCTTTCCTTTCATCTTTTAAGAAATAAGGAGGATATCATCTTTTCATAGGTGCAGTAGGCAATGAGAGTGAATGAAACAATGATAATGACTATGTTATTTGTGCAAATATCCAGAAGAGGATAAAAAGTAGGATATGTTCTGCACAATTTTCTAATTTTATTCGTTTGACCAATCATATTATATTCTTTCCTTGTGCTTCATGTGGATGCTAAATAGTTTAAACTTCATGTGTCAAAATATAAAAAGGTACTCTCAATCTATGTGCCCCTTAAAACATGACAGGGCAGAACAAGGTTGAAGTAACAAATGTGAATTCAAAAGGAGAGTACCCAATAATTTCAATCCTCACGAACAGAGGATCCTTGCTTATTTCAGATTCTGGCCTTTTTTAAACTTCCATTATCTTGTGAAAAATTGCTCTAATCAAAATTTCTTTAGTAGAATGAGTATCAAAATTTGTAAGTACAACAAGAAAGCTTCAGTCTGAGTATTTAATGTCATCCAAACAACATTACTTGTTACAATGTGGTAATCACAGCAAAATTATATAATTACACAATTCCAAACAAAGGAAGTCAGGTCGTAAACTTGCCAGTGACAACTTTTGAGGCTTAAGTTGGAAAGAAATAAATATGGTAAACAGTTTCCATGAATACAAAGTTGAAAGCTTGAAAGCTGAAAGATATACTTTACAATCATCCAACCCTGTGCATCCTAGCAAAAATATGCCATACCTATTCCTATACATACATGCTTGCAAGAAGTCATTACTTTTTGTGACTAGGGAATGACATTTAAATTACCTCAGCAAACTTTATTCATCAGAAATACTATTAAAGATGCAATTACCAAATGCTTAAGTTTACTAAGTCACCCTTGCTAAAGTCAAGCTCACTCCACTTCAGGTTTATCTTTAGCTGGCTATTCTGTTGCATGTGAAAACAACAAATATTACCCACATATTCAGATATCAAACCATGATGAAACATTAATAAGAGATGAATAAATGTGTTTTTCCTACCATCATTCTACATGTAAATATCACAAACCAATCACCAAACCAAACCTCTGCTCATTTCATGTGCAATAGTCACTTCAGTGTGATATTTTTGATGTTGTTTACCTTTTTCTTATGTACTGTTTAATTGTATTCAAGCCCTCAGGGTTTATAGCTAAGAGTACAATAAGGCAGTTACTCTTAATTGTTTATTTTTTATTTATTTTTTTTTGATAAAACATCAATTAAGACTAGCTGCTTTGCTGCAGTCCTAGCTATATGCCCTGAGCGCTTAAATGCAATTAAACGGAAAGTAAACAACACCAGCAAAATCACACTGAAGTGGCTATTGATCATAAAATTTGAAGGGGTTTGGTTTGGTTTTGTAGAATAATGGTAGGAAAAACCCATGAAATTGTTCTTTATCAACTGGAGGTTAATTAGATCTCGGATTTTACATACAAGCTGGATTAGTTTAAATTTATTCATTTATTATAATTGTTTCCTCATGGTTTGTTTACATGAAAAGTAACTTATAGTTTTACAGACGTTGTTGTCCCAACATCTTTAATTAAGTTTCATTTAAGACTGAATATGTTTCAATAACCTTGAATGAATGATAAAAGCAACCCTGCTTAAAAACATTCGCCATAGAAGAAATTGTAAAATTTTAAGGCAAAGTTAAGCCTTTTTTTAATGTTTTATAAATGTTGCTAATTGCCTGGGGCAACTTCCAAAATGAATGAAAAATGCCCTCTGTCTCAGCCAATCAGCATTTAGTGATTTTCCCCCTACATTATAGTATAGATAGCATATAGATTTAGCCAAGTTAAAAAGCAAAGCTATGGTAAGTTTATTTTTCAGCCTCTCACTTTATTGGCTGTGGAAGAGTTTATCCAAGTGGAATTTAGGGACAAATCATTAATTATTCACATGGGGCATGGAGTCATGGTCTTTTATGTAATAAGAGGGCAGGCTTTCCTTTCATCATTTAACAAATAAGGAGGATATCATCTTTTCATAGGTGCAGTGGGCAATGAGAGTGAATGAAACAATGATAATGACTATGTTATTTGTGCAAATATCCAGAGGAGGATAAAAAGTAGGATATGTTCTGCACAATTCTCTTATTTTAATTGTTCAACCTATCATATTATATTCTTGCCTTGTGCATCATGTGGATGCTGAATAATTTAAACTTCATCTGTCAAAATACAAAAAAAACTCTCAATCTATATGCGCCTAAACATTAAAGGGCAGAAAGACGGTCAAAGTAAAAAAATTAATTCAAAAGGAGAGTGCCCAATAATTTTAGTCCTCACTAAAGGAGGGTTCATTCGTTTTCAGATTCTTGCCTTTTTTAAACTTGCATTATCTTGTCAAAATTGCTCTTATCAAAAGTTCTTTTGTGGAATGAGTATCAAAATTAGTAAGGAAAACAACAAAGCTTGATTTAGAGTATTTAATGTCATCCAAATAACATTACATGTTACAATGTGGTAATCACAGCAAAATGATACAATCACACAATTCCAAACAAAGGAAACCAGGTTATAAACTTGCCTGCCACAACTTTTGAGGGCTTAAGTTAAAAAGAAATAAATATGGTAAACAGTTACCATGAATACAAAGTTGAAAGCTTAAAAGCTGAAAGATATACTTTACAATCATCAAACCCTATGCATCCCAGCAAAAGTAGGGTCAATTTCTGCCATATCTTTTCCTATGCATGCATGCTTGCAGGAAGTCATTAATTTTTTGTGACTACTGATGCCACTGTATAGTAAATGACTGTACAGGTCATATGGAAGGTACATTCCTGTATAGGGAATGATATTCCAATTACCTCTGCAAACTTTCATCATCAGAATGACAATCCAAGATGCCATTACCGAGTGCTCAGTTTTCTCAAGTCACCCTTGCTACAGTCTAGCTCACTACATTTCAGGTCCATCTTTACCTGGCCACTCTGTTGCAAAACAACAAATGCTACTCAGATATTCAAATATCAAACCATGATGAAACAATAGTAAGAGATGGATAATTTAGAGTAACCTAGTTTGAATGTAAAATCCCAAATCTAATCAAATTACAGTTGATTATGAAAAACCTCAATGTGTTTTTCTTACCATTATTCTACATATACATATTACAATCCAATCACCAAACCATACCTCTTGAAATTTCATGATCAATAGCCAGTTCAGTTTGATATTTTTGATGTTGTTTACTTTTTGTTATGTACTGTTTAATAGTATTCAAGCTCTCGGGGTTTATAGCTAAGAGTACAATGAGGCAGTTACTCTTAATTGATGTTTTATTAAATAAAACAAAAGCTTTGAGGTGTGATCTGGACCTTAACAATTGGCTTTTAAAAATATTAATCTAAAAATTCGAAGTTGTTTAAGCCTATCGATACCTGTCTTCGGGGGATTTGTAAATCAACTGCAGCTCATTCGCTTGTCCTGTTTGAACACCTAATCCGCTTCTCTCGTGTGGCCAAGCATCGAATCTCAATATTGGTAAGAAGTATAACCTTCTGCATTCTAACGATCGATGGCTGAAAGATATAAACAGAAAGAAAAATCAAGGTAAAACGATCGAGCGTGTACACATCTTTCAGGAAAATCTTATGGTAGCAAAAATTGCTCGAACGGATTGTTATATTAGATATAAGAAAGCGCGACGGCTTTGTTGATCTTATTCTTTCAACGACTCTTTTGATCGCTTCTCCAGAATCCGACCTTTCGATGTAAGACAGCGACCGTAGTAGGGTTTGTTGTTGTCAGCTCGCAAATTGGCCAATCACATCCACTCGTTTGGTTAATTGAAATCGAGTAGATGTGATTGGTCGAAGATTCCTAATGTACAGGATGTGATTGGCTGACACTCCAGCAGGTAAGGCGCCCATTCTTTTCTGTAAGTTCCCTTTGGGAAAAGGGGATTCCTTTAGAGAGGCACAGGCCACCCGAAAGACAAGAAGTAATAGTTAGTTCTATATACTCTTCCTCTAAGGAATGAATTCAAGAGAAGGTGTTACTTTTATCAGTCACAAAAGACTGGTTCCTTGTTCACCCATTTGACTGCCTTTACGGCTGTCATAGAGAAAGTTTGGCGATTGATGAAGAAGCACTTTCCTCCTACGCTGTTTTTCAGTGATTTCTTCGTCTCTGTGAAGGAATTTCGAGACTTGTGTTAGGGAAATATGGCAAAACGACACGAGTCGAGCTGAGTAAAGCTCTCGAATGTCTCGCTTGTCATCCACGCGTTCATCGGGCTGTTAGCGCGCGGCACATATTCAAGGGCGATCGTGGACTCTTGGGAGAGCGATGCTTTATGCTCCTCTATACTTCTAAGTTTATTACAGACATTTGATGCAAAAATTTGTATTTTTTCAAACAATTTTGCAGGAAATGTCTTCCGTGATCTTAGAAGTACAGAAACACTTAACGCAGCCCTCTCGTCTACGATCGCGCTTGAACGCGTGGTAAGAGCCTAATACACGCGTGGATCCGAAACGGGGCATCCAAGAGCGTTTCTCAGCATGACTCCTGACTTTTTGCGGCATTTCCCGAGCATGAGTCTCAAAACTCACATTACAACGAAACGTGTGTACATCCAGTCTACCTGGAAAATCAATTTAATAAAGCAGAATGCACTTATAAAGGAATTCCTCTTTTTGTCCCGTTTCTTTACGGATATCGAGGCAACAGTCCGCTGCGCGACACAAGACATCCTTGACGATAAAACGCAAACTGTGACTCGTTCCAATTTTTTCCATTTTACACTTTCTCCTAGCTTTTCAGAGGAATACATTTTGAAAGAAAAACTCTTAAGCCCCGTCCGAGGAATAGTGCATTCACGAGACCAGAATGAGTGCTCGCAAAATGAGCTTTCTTGCCTTGCAGCAATGTAGCGCGCTCGCCCTTGCGAGGACTTCGAGCGTACGTGTGAACTGTTCTCAAAGTGTGTGCACGCTTACACGTATCTGCCATCTGCCTCTCCAGCTTACTGGATTTGACTTATGATTATTTTCATGACTTCTTTGCTTTTAATAACGAGGACGGGCATGGAATAATTCAAATTAATTTCGTAAAAGAACAGAATCGTAAAAAATAGCAACTCTAAAGAAGTAGAATGGGCTGAGTACTCCACTCACTAGTTACCTGAAATAAACCCTTCCCTTTCATTCACATTTTAAGTCAATTTCATTCACTTTTTCAATCATTTTCCGTCAAGAATTTAAAAAAAAAATCCGTTCAATGGGAACGTATTTTAAGTCCATTCTATTTTCCTTGCTAAGAATTTCCTTTAAATATCAGTAAAATCAACTTTGAAATAATAATGTTTCTCAGTTGTGAAGACAGATATAAACAGATACATAATTACCAAACAGGAACGAGGAAGAATTAAGGAACGCGAAAAATTAAAAACTAATTGTAGATGGCAAAAACGGAAATTTTCTTTAAGTCGGAAAAAAAAGAAAAATTAACAGAGTAAAAATAGGTAGTGCTGCAGAGTAAGAAAGAAAAAAGTGCCGTGACCAGGATTCGAACCTGTACGATCACGGCTGCCACTGCTGCTGCCACGTATGGAACGTGGTCAAACAGACAAGTCATAAGCATCCTGGCAAAAATTGAGTCAACCCAGCGTTACCCCAATTACAGTACAGTGGTAGTAAAGTGCCATTGTTCCTATGGTCGAGGACGGAGGAACATGCTGAGTGGCAGCCAATCACATCGTGTACATTAGGAATGTTCGACCAGTCACATCCACTCGATTTGAAATAACCAAACGGGTGGATGTGAAATTTGGAAAGGTGATCAAAAGTGTGTGCGACATTACGTGTTCTAATATGTATTAAAAGACGTCGTTTAGGGCAATTATCTGCCAAAATTATTCTTGGAAGAGGTGTACACGCTCGGTCGCTTTGCCTTTTTCTTTCTTTTTATATCTTTCTGACATCGATCGCGCGAATGTCGAAGTTTATACTTCTTACCAATTGAGATTCGTTGCTTGGCCACACAAGAGAAGCGGATGAGATGTTCAAGAAGAATTCGGAGCGGCAGAACAAGTGAATGACCGAAGACAGGTATCGATAGGCTCAAACAATTTAGAATTTTTAGAAATATTTTAAAGATCCAATTGTTAAGCTCCGATTGCGTTGCATTGTGGTAGCTTCATTTTCAATATGGCGGTGAAAGAAGCAGAAATCGGCCGGTTTTTGACTGAACATTCCGTAAAAGTTAGGCCGTTCCTTTTTCCTTTTACCATAGGTAAATGAAATTTGATTTATTCCGAATGTGTAAAAGTATTTTTTGTACGTACTTGTCGCGTACTCTATGATTCCCAGGGACAAACGCAATCACCATTTTTCAGTAAGTAATCTGAGACCGGTTTTCGAGAAGGTCAAATTTGATGTACGTCGTAGTTTGGAGCCTTTCAAAGATTTGGATGGCCGCTTTGATCCTTCTTCAACAGCTCTAACCAAACGCTCTCAAACGCTCTCAAACGCTCTCCAACATGTGTTTCACGCATTTTAAGTGATAGTGTTTGAGACCGATGATGGCCAAGAAGAGGCCTATTGTTGCGTTGCACAGCGTTACCATCGTATACTCATTTGTGTTGTAAATCTACTTTCCTAAGTAAAAAGGAAATTTACTAATGGCGGGTGTTGTATGGTAAATCTACTATCTTGATCACTGAATGAAGGACAGATGAATTAGAGCAACGAAAGGAGTCACTTGACCAATAAATAACTGTACAATGAACATGGCGACACGCCGGATAAGCAGGAAAACAGAAGGCAGTCGATGGTTAAAAGGTGTTGATTGGCTTGTGCGACTCCTGCCATTCGCTTACGCTTCTAAATCTTCTGACCTGAAAGCTTAGCTGTTATTAGGATATCTTTTAATGACTTTTGTTTGCGATTTGATAATAAAGGTTAGTTTTAAGGTGTCATTTCTCCATCGGTATGTTCTTAGTCTTTGTGCGCGCTATTTTTTTTTTCGTTTTCAGGTATACTGTCTCTCCCGCATAAAATAACTCCAAAGATACGTTTCTCAAAACCTTATTCTCGGTATTCTTTATTCTTTAAGCATATTTGTAACTCTGTACGTTTTTTATCAAACGTTGAGCGTGACGAATTTGGTCGTAGGAGGCGTAAGGCTTCTCCTTTCGCGAATCCCGCATTTACGCCTGTAAGTGTATGACATGAAAAGTAGTTCGTGAATTAGAAGATCGCTGTCTCTTTGTAATGCATTTGCATGTCAAGGGTCGATTCCCCGTCAAGTAAATCGCGAATTTGATATTATTCACACAGCCATCAGCTGTAAGTGTAACTGCATCTAAATGAATAGATTCATGGGCAAGACTGCAATTTCAATTCTTTCTGAATCTCTTCAGTTGCCTCCCAATAACGAATTTGCCACGGAGGAATGACACTTTTTAACTTTCGAAGGAACGGCAACAGTCAGTGAATCCCTATTACATTCCACGTTTATTCACGCTATCTCGTTGCCACCAGAGATGTTCACGCGACAGAATGCAAATGACTTACTTTTCGTTTTATGACCATGATGCAACGCAATCAGAGAGCGCACACCGCCTGCGTTGAATGATGTATCGCAACGGAAGTACCGAGCAGATTTGTTTTAAACATTCTCGAGAAGTAACAGATTGGTATAGATAGCAAGTGAAATTTTATTATGGTGAAGATGTTCACATCGGGAAGTTATAAGGTCTTAATTGGGTTATAGGCTGATAAATTTGTAAAGGAAGAATGGACGATCTGGACTAGAGCTCGAAAAATACTTACCAATAATATATATAAATTATATTCACTTCAAAAAGAATGCGTACGAGTCTTGAGCATTGTTCTAATCTAGCACGGAATTTACTCATAGGATGCAGAAATCTCTCAAAATCGTCACGTTATTATAAAAAATTCAGAAAAACTTGAGAAGTCGCTCAGTAACATGGACAAAAGTTTATGCATGTCTACGGAAGTGTTCGCCTTAATTAAACGCATGCGCAGTGGGTTGGTCGGTAACCCTTAAAGTCCCTAGAGGTCAACTTTAACCTTGTCCCACTTAGTTAAGCAACAAACAATAGATTCTTATATTGTATTTTGGATTGTATTGGAACAGGGGGAAATCTTCTTACTACTGTTGGTGGCTGTAAGAAAGGAACAGGAGGAACAGGAGCTGGAAGAATTGGCATCGATCGGCAAGATTTTGAAGTTTGACCTCTGAGAATGGCCGTCCCTGTGGCATTGGTTGGTAATACAAATTGAAAGGGCACAGGATAGGTGACTTGTGGCAGAGACGGAGGCAGTGGTGTGGCTGCTGGTAAAGGTGTCTTTG